GTCTGAGGCAGCCGTGGGGATAACGTAGCAAGAGGGGGTTGCGTGGCCAAAGCGTCTCCTGGTGAGTGTGCGGCTGGTCTGCGAGAGGCAAATCGCCTTCTTCAGGAGGGAGCAGTTTACCAGTTTATCGGTGGCGAGTCTGGGGGATGAGAAGGGAGATAAGGCAGCCACCGGGTGGTTTTATTCCAGCACGGGGCAGCGGGGCTGGGGAACGAGAAGAGGCAACGAGGGGCGTAAGGAAATTATTTCTGAAAACGGAGAATATCTATAGGCGACACTGAGCTGGCGTGTTGGTGTTCAGTGTGCCTCTGACGTGTTCGTTGGACTGCGTGGATTTGTGCCTGTTTTCTAGGGGAGCTTATTTTTTAATTGAGTCACTTGGAAACGCTAGTGATATTTCTGACATGCCATGTCTTGAAATGCTTCTCAGACGAAGGGTACATCGTCATTTGGTAAGCGACGGAATAAGACACATACCTTGTGTCGTCGATGTGGGTCCAAGGCATACCATCTGCAGAAATCTACCTGTGGGAAGTGTGGTTACCCTGCTAAGCGTAAGAGAAAGTGTAAGTGACAAACTGACTTGAGTTTAAAAACCTGTGTTTCTTTGTCTTCTTCAGTAATCTATAACTTTTTTTCCAACCAAGGAAGAACATTGTGTCAACTTGCAGTGTTCGGAGCTTTTTTCAAATTAATGCTGGTCTAAGTATATTTTAGCTAACACGTGGTATTACTACATAGAGATTGACTTAAGATTTTTTTTTTCTTTCTATCAGATTGAATAATTGTGCTATACAAATGTAATGTGCAACTTACTCATCTGCACCAAATAATTAACTTGTATGCTTTAGATAACTGGAGTGCAAAGGCTAAAAGACGCAACACCACTGGTACTGGTCGCATGAGGCACCTGAAAAAGGTCTACCGTCGATTCAGGTATAACATTTTAATACAAACTATTGTGGTGTGAAGTCCTGCATAGGGATCGCTTAGTTATAAAATCTATCATTCAGAGTTAAGATTTTTATATATTTAGTGCACTTAATGTGGTATGGTCTTCCTAAATATAGCATGAGTAAATGATGCCTTATATAATTGGCTGCATATTCCTTTGAGGACAAAAAAAAGCTCACTCCCTGTTAATACACAGGGTGTATAACAAGCTCTGATGTTTCTGTTAGGTGCAGATAGTACAGAACACAGGGTCTTGTAATAAAATGCCCACCTTTAGAAAGGTATGCGTTGTGTAGTGTTGCCTCTACTTGTGAGTCAACTCAGTTGCTGGCTGCAGTGAAGCATGGACTTTTTTCAGAGACAAGCCCTGAAATGCGTTCCAGTCTCCTGCCCACAAAAAAAAAAAAAAGCTCAGGACTGAAATAACTTCAGTAGTTGCTCTCGTATTTGAGGAGTTCAGTACATAGTTAGCAGTACATAACTGTAAGATCAGATTCAGAGTTACAGGTTTCTCAAATTTGTTAAAGAGCTTTGAGTTGTACTTAGGAGATAACAGTGGGGATATTGTGCTGTTAAACTCTAAGAATTTCTTTTGTATGACCCCTGTGTTCTAAAGTGGAGCTCTGTAGGTTCTGGCGTAATACACAAGAAAACTGGCTGAAAAATACCAAGTGATTCAAAAACCTTGTCATAAAAATGTAGACTGGATTTAATAGTGAAAAGTAGGAGTCTTTTAAGTCCCAGACCAGGGCATAGTTGAGGGATCCATTTATCTGTTAGTTTTGGTGAGTGCAGTCTCTCCCAGCAACAGCCAGAAAGTACCTTACAGCATGCAGCTGTAGCCTGCTTTCCACTGAACGTGGCTGAAGTAGAAATATCATATCCAAAGGCGAAGCTTGGGGCTGACTCTTCTCCTGTCATGCCTGTCTCAGTCTCTGGTTATAGAGGATTTCTGTAAGAAATTGACTTGCACTTAAACATGAAATCTTCCTACTAAGCTGAGTGGCTTAGTATGAACATAAAGTAAAGCGTGCTGTATCTGATACAGTCTTGCAGTGTTCACTTGGTTACCGAAATCTTCCTGTTTTGAAGAAGTCAAATTTACTTCAGCAGAAGAGCACATACCATGTATTCCAAACACTTGTTAATAAGACGTTTCTTACTAAAAGTGTCTGATCATATGAACTCCATGGTGATTTCAGTGCATTGCTGAGATAAGCTGGAAAAAGCTGGTGAACTCTATCTGAAACATTACTTGGAAAATAACCCGGAGCAGGAACCGTCCTTTCAAAAAGTGGTAACCATATTTCTACTTGCAGGAATGGATTCCGTGAGGGAACCACACCGAAGCCCAAGAGAGCAGCTGTTGCAGCCTCCAGCTCATCGTAAAGACTCATCTATTTGTTAAAATAAATGGTCTTATCCAGAGAATGTCACCTTTTATACATGTTTTACTTCAGTGAAATGCAGGATTCCTGAAAATACATATATTTTACATATGCACACACAGTTTCTTGATGGTATGCATTGAAATAATTCATTAAAAACGGTCCTTTAATTGACTTCTTATGTGATAGCACCTCTGCCTTGAAGAGGACAATTATCTCTGTGGTGAACTTTTAAAGAGAGGCTTGTACATGTTACTCAAAAGAACACACCCACAAGAGAAATGCGGTATTGGCACTATGGACTTGCCCTGCTTGGCTTCCGAGTTTCATTGTGCCCTAGTGTGGAGAGTCAGGATTTATCTCAGAGGCAGTAACATGAATAATGCCTCAATGTGCTGTTCTTGGGGGGGAGTAGTTAAGAGGGATTCCCAGTCTTAGCCATTTTTCACTGCTCCGTGGCACTGAAAGGCCTGCAAAAGTATTGCTTATTTGGTGGGTCACTGCTGATTGGGCAAAAAGAAGCTCCCAAGTCCAGAGCACAGATACTGCCAGAGACAAAGGGATTGGAGATCTGTTGTAGGTGAGACACAAGTTGCCTGGAATGGTCTCGGGAGGTCGGTGTGGAAAGCTGACGCACCAAAGGTCTGAGTTAACTATGCTGGGTGTAAACAATAAATGGTAGGTAGTATGATAGAGAAGTCGGTCACTTGGGATACATACAGATTAACAGATTGACCCCTGATGCATTTGTACCCTATGTGATGTGTTACTGGGCTACCTGGCTGGCTTTCAAATGCTGCTTTAAAAAACTTGTAAGATGCTGTTGGGAAAATTTGGGAAATTGCAGTAATCACTGCAAGAGTTCAGAGGATTTTCAGATGCCATGAAGAAGAAATACTAGAAAACCAAAAACTTAGGATGCTTTAAGCTTCTGAGGCTGTTCTTACTGTGATTCCTCAGGCTTCATCATTAATTTCTTGAAGGAGCATACTGCTTTGTCAGTGCTGAAGGATCAGCAGTTGATACATATCAACTTGTGCAAATCACTGAAGAAATTTTCAGACAGGTTTAAAATTGGGAGTGCATCTGGCTACGCTTTCTTACATTTTTAAATGAAGTACAGTTAATGCTTTTGGATACTTCAGTATCTATACTTGGGCTGTTTCTAAATCAAATCTTGCCCTGCTGTTGCCTTGGCATGTAACAAGTACGCTGTACTTGCTCTGCTTTCAGCTGGTCCTGCTGAGAGAGTCTGAAAGTAAATGATGGTGAAGATGTTAAAACACATTTTGTGCGTACTACAACGTATTCCCAGGGCTCAGGAGTGCATCTGAAATGTGTTTTTTGGTGATGAACTGGGAAACATGTAGTGTAGGAGGAAGTAATAGTAAATGTGTCTTTTACACGGAAAAAGGATCCTTGTCAGCTTGACTTGAGGGTCTGAGCCAGTCTCAAACTTGTAAGTGGGAATTCTGCGTATTGCCTTGGAGCAGTGTCTCGTCTGCGTTCGTTCATATTGAAACCACATCAAGACCTAACACAGCCATTCAATGCATAGTGAGCCATATTAGACTTCTGGTACCATTGCACATCCTGCAAAGACATGTAGGTAACAGTACCTGGGGTTTAGATAGGTTTTGCACGTGAACTGGCAAACCCAATGGGGTGAATGAGCTCCGCCTCCATTGGTGTGAGATTGCCGACTCCACAGCAGGAACAGCTGGACAAGGTATTTCACGCTTTCTGACCCCCAGCTGTTTCTACCATCCAGTGCACTAGCATGAAGTGGTGCTAATTTTACCTATAAATTAAGACTACCTCCTCTCTTCCTGTCTTACGAGGGTAATACGGAGATGAGTCCAGTTACTTTTCCCCCAATGACACACGCGAACAATGCCCACTAGATTATTGTGACCCCTGGAAAGAGGAGAGGTGGTCTTAACATGTCATGAGATGTTCCAAGAGGACAATGTTGGGAGAAGAAAGGTGTTAGTCACTTTTCCTTGTGGATTTATATGAGAAATGTTCATCACTTGGCAATGATTTGAGGACCTCTCACAATAGTAAGTTAACTTTCCTATACACAGCCGTAACTACTATACTAGATTCTCTGCTCTATTAAAATTTGATTCAGAGCTCTAAATTAGAACCTTTGATGTCTTGGCCTTATGCTACCCATGTGGAGCCTTCTTCACTCAAAATACCAAATGACTTGATTGAGTGATGCTATTTGTCTTACTCAGAATGTGTATAACCCCCACCACCAGTTGTAGAGACCGCTAAGGTCTCCCCTCAGCCTCCTCCAGGCTAAACAACCCCAGTTCCCTCAGCTGCTCCTCGTAAGATTTGTGCTCCAGACCCCTCACCAGCTTTGTTTTCTCCTCTGGACGTGTTTCAGCAATGCAACGTCTTCCTTGTAGTGAGGGGCCCAAAACTGAATGCACTGTGAGTTCTCGTTTACCGTTTTGCTTTAAAGGCAGTCTACCTGAGCTGTTCTGTTGTGTATTTTTAAGTCCCTGCATTGCTATTTGTGTGGCACTGGTATTAAATATCTGGCACAGATAATCAGTCATTAACTCAATGAATGAATGAATGAAGAATAAATTCACTAAATGGCCCTCTCTAGGGCCTCTCTGAGGTCTTTTATGACCAAGCTGTGACACCTTGGCAGAACTGATTTCTAGCACCTGTGGGCTTGAATAGTTTCAAAGCTGAAGCTTGCATAACCTTAAATGCTAGCAGGACTTAGACTTACCTCCACCACCAGAATGAACAGCAGGTTCTTGTACACATTTCCCTTTAAATATTTATTACTCCTCCTTCAACCATTGCTTTTGTTCAGGTTAAATCCTAAACTCTGGATATGGACTCCCTGTGCTGCTCAGGGCTGGAGACAGCTTGCACAGGGCTCTGTCTTCACTGGAGCATCCAGGGACCTATCTCTGTTTCCTCAGGCTCACGTGTGTAGACTGCAGCAGAGATGTCTCAGTGGGGATCCACTACTGCCACAGCGTGAGTCCTGCTCAGAGATCCAAAGCTGTGCTGAGCCAGGGCAGATTCCTCTAACCTGGGCAGGGACAGGGAAGAGGTGACTGCTGATCTCAATGTATAACACTGCAGAGAGGGAGGAATTGGAGAGGAGGTCTGATTTAACTAACACAGCTTCTTGCTTTTTCCTCTCCTGTTGGCAAGTGGTGGCAGATGCGACTCTCACTGCCTTCCAGGGGCCACACAACAGTCAGAAACTGTAGCTTGAAAACAGCTCTTCTAACACGAGTGCTTATGTATGGCAGGGACTCAGAACAGGAGAGAGAAGAGAGGAAATGGTGAAGGTCCATTATTAAATTTATCATATTAATCCTATCCCTATTGGTGACACACGCATAATCAAATCAGCTAATTATTTTGCTGCTGCGAATGCTATGAACTCCATGTAGGGGAACAGACATGCAGCCGGATTGCTTGTTTGCTTTATTTTTTTTTTCCTTTCACCTTTTCTTAATGACAGCGTGGGTTGGATTTCCAAACTCTCCCAGCACTGGCATAACTGCTCTCTCTGGCAGCTGCAATCAAATGCCTATTTGTCTAACTGCTAACACTTCTACCAGTAAAATGCTGACTGACAGCAAGTTCTGCTACAGAGAAACTGCCAAATTTCTGTATTCTCTACTCTTTTCTTCCAATAACAAGAAAAAAATAATTGCACAACATGATTTGCAAACCTACTGATGCTGAGCATGAATTGTGATTCAAATTAGAATTTCTGAGGGGAGTACTTCTCTTTAGATGATGTCCAGAACGGGCATAATTAACATATCTGAATTCAGAAGTCAGGAAGTGAAAAATCTGGCATCTTACTGAAGAACATTAGTATTCCCTTTTCCTGCATTATATACTATCTCTTAATTTATTAGGTTTATATTAAAGCTTTATACTGGTCAACTAGTGCAGGCTGAAAGCTTCACACATTTTCTGCTCAGAGATGATCCTCACGAAAATGTTTGAAAGTAAAATCCTAAATTACTCAAATAAAATTACTTATTAGTTTTATTTTCCTTGTTTTGACTATTTTACCATTTAAAATGTTATTTTATTTCATGTCATGCAAATTTAACAGGGCAAATATTACAGGTAGTCCCTACATTGCTTAACAGCCTATGTTTTGGCACTGGCTGAACAAATTACTTGGTTTTAACATTTTTTTTTAAAAAGGATTCTTTATATTTTCCTATGAAATATTTCAGAATTTTTCTTCCATAGTAATGAACAGATGAGCCTTGATTTTTTATCTCATTAGGATAGAGGGATGTTTTAAAATATAAAGATTTTCCATGGACCAGAGTTTCTGTTTTCCAACCTTTGGTAAGATTAAGGACTGTAATTTAAGTAATACTGAATGGCCTCTGAATCAGATTTAGGACTGTAATTAGAAAAAAATTGTTTAACTTCTTGATGTCTGCACATTGAAAAACCTTTATATATTGTTTCTGTAATGTATTTATCTACTTGCAAACACACTCAGGGGCTGTGCTTAGGGTAGGCAAGAGAAAAGCATTTTAGTTGATATCATTCCCTTAGTCTGGAGAACTGGGGAAAGGAGGTGAAAGGACGGGAGTTGTCCATAACCTTCCTCTTCACTCCATCACGTCTCCACACAAAAATACCCATCCAATTGTTACTCCTTCTCCACGTTCATCTGTTTCTTTGAAGGCAGGGCTGGAAAGTGATTAAAAAATAATCCTATGGTCTTTGGTACGTAGAAAATGTTCAGTGAGTGAATGGAAAGCAGGCTACTGGCCTAAATGCAGCATGAATGGGTGAGTTGGCCAGACA